GGGGGGTGGTGGTTCTGTTTGGTAGGTATGGCACTTGGTTCTGTTGACTGGGCAGGGCGGCCTTCTTGTATAATGGGAAACACTGATCTTATTTAGAATAAGGTTGGTAATTTGAGGATTACTGTGTTACCGGGAGGAGACCCAGAGAAAGACCCATGACACGCTGGAGGGACTATGTTTCTCGGCTGGCCTGGGAGCGCTTCAGGATTCCCCCGGAGGAACTGGCCCAAGTGGCTGGGGAGAGGGAAGTCTGGGCCTCCCTACTTAAGCTGCTACCCCCGCGACCCGACCCCGGATAAACGGAAGAAAATGGATGGATGTGTATGTGAACTTAGTTATTGATGTTATAAATTAAGCTTGATATTTATCCAACAGTGAATGATGCAGTAAAGGTCCGAATGGAGGGAGGAGTGCTGGATGAGATTGAAGCAACTGCAGATGTTCTGCTCAGTGACACCATGGACCAGTACAGGACATTCCAGATGTGTGAACGTCTGCTGCACACTCCAACCAAACTCGCGAACCAGTTGCTTTTCCAGATCCCCCCTCATCGACAAATCATGCTTATAGAGAGGTGACGCTCTCAAGTAGTTATCTACTTTCTCAAAAGCAGATCAAATACGGATGAAAGTTGATGTGATGTATTTTTTGTATTATTTTTCAACAAGTCTAGTTGTACTTAAACTATTTGCTGTGTTTATTAAGTCCTTATACAATATTTATATGGTATGTGTTGCAAACTTTTTATTTGGTATTTTTCTGATAAATCTATTGTGTTCTTGTTTAGATATTATGCCTTTGATGATGCATTTGTGCGAGAAGTGTTGGGAAAGAAACTCTCCAAAGGAACAAAGAAAGACTTGGATGATATAAGTGCCAAGACAGGTGTGACGCTCAAAAGCTGCAGACGACAAGTAAGAATACCCTAAATTTAAAAAGTAATGTTCAGCTCTGTGCGACTTTATTTTTAATTTTGTGTTGCGATTGTATTAAACTCACCATACTGCAGGTTTTTTATTTTATTTTATTTTGTAAAGCTATTTCAGTTTTTTCACAAGCTGACATTTCAGCTGCTGTTACAGTTTATTAGTTGTTTGAACAACAAATTACTCTCCAGTTTTTGCACAAGTCATATTGTTGCAATTTAGTTAATAAATTGCTTCACTGTGTTGCAGTTTGACAACTTCAAACGCGTTTTCAAAGTTGTGGAAGAGCTAAAGGGACCCCTGGTGGAGAACATACGTCAGCATTTTCTACTCTCCGACAAGCTTGCAAGGTCAGGAGAAAAAAAGCATGCAGCGAGAAGAGATTAAATTTTCATAGTTCTTTTAATTAAAATTTGACAAAATACTGCATGAAAAAAAATCTATTATATGCATATCTGTTCCTGTTTTTAGTATTTTATATCACAATGTATGTTTTTTAACATCATTTTCTTCCATTTATTATTTTTTTCAATTGATATGCTTCTTTTAAGCTTGTCTACTGTTGTCATCATTCTTTGATAAAAACAGGTCTCTCTTATAAATGGGTCCTCGAGGCTCAATGAGACTAATTTGTATGAATAAAGGCTGAATTGAATATCTAAATCCATGAAAAAGACCGTCAAATTGTCCTGTTCTATTTTGTTGCATTCTTTTGTGCTTGTTTCAGGGACTATGCTGCCATTGTTTTCTTTGCCAACAATCGCTTTGAGACGGGGAAAAAAAAGCTGCAGTATCTCAATTTCCAGGACTTTGCTTTTTGTGCTGGGCAGCTTATCAACAACTGGACAGTTGGAGCCATTGGTGAGGGAGTCTGGTTGTTTCCTTTGGCCAATTTACTGACATCAGATATAAGCACCATATTTATCATTTTTAACACTGGTGTAGCTCATTAATCATTTGTCTTAACTTGTCGAGGTTGGCAGTTTACAATGTAGTGCAGCCTTAAATATATATTTTCAAGAAAAACTATAAAATAAACGTTAGAAACTGTGAAAATAATGTCAATAATATGGGTTAAAATAAATATAATATTTGAGAACAAGTGGTATACTGTGTCTATGACATTTTGAGCTGTGATTTTTCAGTGAGGCTCACTGACCACCAGAGGTCCTTCAGGTTTTACACATTGAATATAATTTAAATGTTACTGTTCAGGGAACTGGAAAGCTTGATGCAGTTAGGTAGTATCTGAGAAAAAACTTGATCACAAAACCAATGCAATTTAAAAAAAATGTTTAATGTTAAATAAACAATATCCTCATTTATCTGTTTGCTTTGTTTTGTTGTTGTAGATAACATGGTAGAAGACATGGATGTTGATCTTGATAAAGAGTTTTTACAAGAACTAAAGGAATTAAAAGTTTTAATTACTGACAAAGATCTGCTAGATCAGCACAAAAGGTAATAAAAATACACTCTAAATGCTTTGAATCTGCATATGACACTTGCAAACTCGTATCTAATTTCCTCTTTCATTTTCTCTTCAGTTTGGTTTGTACAGCTCTTAGAGGCAAAACTAAAGCTTTTAATGAGATGGAAGCTAATTTCAAGGTGAGAGAAACAACATCTACTGGTTCAGCATAAACCTCATTTATTATTAATTTATGGGCTGAAAGGAAATAAAAATATTACTAATTACTGGTAATCCTTTTGTTTTTATTGCAGAATCTTTCCAGAAGTCTTGTCAACATTGCCACAAAGTTAACCAACACTAAAGACGTCCGAGATTTCTTTATTGATCTGGTGGAAAAGGTGAGTGCGTCTTTAAAATGTTCAACTTGCAGTCCATAAGTAAAAATATGCATGTTTGCGCCAGCTTCAGTGTGCTGTCCTTCATTTTCTCCTCTAGTTTATTGAGCCGTGCCGTTCAGACCGATGGACAGCCGCCGACGTAAAACTCTACCTTACTCACTACACCAACTCTGCACACATTCTCGACACATTCAAGTAAGTTTATTTTACATTCTGCAAAGCTTATCACATAGACTGCGGCGCCAGGCCTGCCAGACTTATCTGCTATTTGATACATTCTAAAAGAAAATACAACAATAAGTTTAGTTTGTTTTTTTTTACGCTAAAGGATAACCCTAAAAGGGAAAAGACCCTCCTCAGGCATTATGTTCCAAAACTGACATCTATGTTCTGCCAGTGGGTGTCTCCCTATCTTGCCCATAATTTCTAAAACTGTAGTTACCTTGTTTCTCATGAATTCTTAGGAATGTAGTTAAGGGTTTACACAGCCCTCCACCACTACAGGATTAACAAAGAGATATTCATAAAAAGAAGCAAAGACCACATAAACCCAGAGACCAAGATTGCCTCATTTACTTTCTTCACCCAGATTTCACAACCTCAGTGGGTCTAACGTCTTACCGTGCGTCATTTACTCATTGTTTACTCAATTTTCTGTCTTTCCCCTCTGCTCTTCAGACATCAGGTTGTGTGGGACAGATACATGGGCGTCATCAAAAGCTGTATCTTCAAAATGTATCACGACTGAGGCGTTTCCTTGGCTGCCCGCCCCTCTCCTCTCCCTGCTATTTTTTTTTTTTTTTGGTTCGTTTTCCTCTTCATTGAAGTTGTACTTCTCTGCTGTATGTTTTGCTGTTAGAAGGTGATATTGTTTAACTTTTTATGTCCCATTATTGCTCGTATGCACCTTGAGCACCCTTCAGTGTCTGTAAATTTATACGAATAAAAGAAATGTTTTAACGTTGGAACGTCATTCTGTTTTATATTTCCATTTAACACCTCTTTGTGTTTTATGTGCAGTGTTAGATGGAGGAGATGTTCTTGTTAACCCCACACGGAAGCAGGATTTATGATCTCGTGGGCGTTGGGTGGAGATAAGGGACCAGAAGAAAAAGGAGATTTGAATCCGATTTGGCAAAAGAGAGCTTCAAGAAGCGTTTGAGGTTTTAAATAGAATCAGCACATCACATGTGTGATGAACTCAGACTCCAGCCAGTGTGTGGGATGTCTGTGTGTGGCCGTGAAGGACCAACCAGGAGGGGCACAGTTGGTCCTGCTTGGTTGGTGGGGGGTGTCAGCGTGATTTTTAACAACATCCCCCGTAATGACAGCTGCCATTTGTGCCACCACACGTAAACACAAGACAGATGACACTCTGAGAAAACCTAAAACGCTGGAGGTTTATTTAGTGAAAATAAATCAGTCTAAATATTTAGAGTGGCTGAATTGGAATATTTTTGTTTATTTCTTTATGGAAGCCCCCAATTATTCAAATGTTGCTTCTTTATTTAAAAATTGGTTTCTATAACAAAGATAACTTTGCTGCTTTACCTAAAGTTGGTTCAGACTCATACCAGTAAGGACTACCTTGGGTTAAGCAACATTTGGACTTGTTTGCATCAGATCACACCACAGATTTTCTAAAGCAGAAATCTTTCCAAGACTAAATGCTTTTATGCACAAACGAGAAAGCCACATATATATTTAGTTTAGTCAACAAATAACAAAATTTTCAAGCGTGTCTTTTTCATAAAGTCATCCTTTTCCCTTCTACAGTTTTGTTCACATTCTAGTAACTTTTCTTTTTCCCCTGTGCTAAAAATATCCTGCCTGTCAGACTGGACAAGAGCAATAGCTGAAGTTGCTTTATGGTGGTTTGGGGAGGGGGGGGGGGGGGGGGGGGGGGGAGTAGATTGAGGGGGGGTAAATGGGAAAAGAGTGGGAGAGCTCGGGGCTTTTGCGGGGGGCTTAGTTTAAATGAAACCAGGTGTGCTGTGGGACCAGTGAGGTTCTGTGAGCTGTTGTGCCTGCGATTTGGACAGATTTGGAATTTGGGCCGCAGACCAGGAATTTGCGCCCTGGGGGGTCAGGGAGAAGGGGTTTGTAGGGTGGAGGATGGCAGCGCAGGGGGCCAGAGGGGGTGGGGGTGGGGGGGGTGTAAGAATGGGCTGTCCCACTCTCCTCCCTCCCTCTGTCGTCTCCTCTCTCCCTCCCTTTGCATGTGTTCATCTGCTCCAGCTGTCGGTCTCCCCGCTCACTCTCTCAGGGTCACACAGGCAGCAGTTTAAGGGATCACTTGTGAACGCCAGCTCATCCCGGGACGATTTCAGAACCTCAGACGAGCGCACCGGTCCAGTTGGAGGCTTACAGATCCGAGACGCAACGGAAAAGATTCACCTGTGAGTTTTCCTGTTTTGTTAACGTCTTGCACACAAATAAGATGAGGGTCAGGTGACACAGAGACCTTCTGGATGACTTCTGCAGTTTGAAAGCGGGATGTTATAATGGAAGTGAGATGTACCTCTTTCCCCAAACTTAGTCTTTGTTAGAGCAGCTGTCCTCCACTGTGAGAGTTAGGGGTTCGATTCCACCAGCAGTCACATGCTGAAGTGTCTCTGGGCAAGACACTGAACCCCTCATTGCCTCCAATGTGTGTCCCATCGGTTTATGAATGTGATTTAAAGCACTGATTAGTCTTTATACAGATATGGTAGAGTGCTGTATGAATGGGTAAATGAGGGCACAGATTGTGTTGTAAAGTGCTTTGAGTATCTTGATGTGATAGAAAAGCACTATACAAGTACAGTTTACCATTTACAGGCCATACACGTCAGAGCTGCACCACTGCCCTGCTGTCTGCTCTGCTCTCCCAGCTGCACTTGGCTTCCCTCTGGAGCCAAGATAACGTGGCTGTGTAGTTTGGCTCTGACTGTAACAGGGGGTTAGACAGGAAAAGAGGCGGTGAGTCACAAGGCATGTATTATGCTTCTGTAAATTACAAAATCGTTCCATCTCATCCCTGCAGTAAAAAAATAAAGACTCAAAAGTCAGTGTCACAATCTGAAGAATGTTAGGTTGAACTTCTGCCCACAGAAGGTTGAACAACAGACTCACTGCTCATGTAATGAATGTTAATGTGAGACACATCAAAATGAATGTCATGAATCAACAGGGATTTAAAATAACCAGCCTGAGGACAGCTCATCTTTCACATTGTTCTCAAGCAGTGATCTGTGACAGAGCAGCAGCATCACCCTGAGCTCAGATTGTTTGGTGCTCAGTGTGAGTTTTCCTGAACTCCATCCAGCAAGAACACATGAAAGATGGAGAACTCATCGCATTTGTAACTGAGCTGGATCGAACTGGGCCGCCATGTTCTCGAGCTGCTCCTTGCACAGCTGAGCACATCCACACTAAGTAACAAATGATCATCCTGCAGTTTACATGTTCTGTTTGTGTGTGTGTGTGGTCTAGCTGTGTGTTTTACAGGTTGTCCATGTGGTCACTTTGACATATTTGGCTGCAAAGGCAGACTAACTGTGTGCTTCTTATTTAAAGGCTCCAAATGTTTCAAATAACTGATTAAATATACATTTTATTATGATTATTATGTTTATGGACAGCAAAGTTTTACCTGTAATGATCACGTGTCTGAACATCCATCTCTGATGACCCCAAAGGATAAAGCTGGTGTAGAAAATGGATGGTTGGGGTGATATTAAAATATTTCAACACAAATTGCACAAGCCATCCGTTGATTTTATTATTGGCTGATTTTATTCATCACAAGTTTCCTTATTTTGCCTCACCAACCGTTCAAAACGAAAATGTACATAATAGCCTACATTAAAAAAGAAGTGCGGAAAATCTACATCCAAAACAAAATACAACCACAATTCCAAAAATGCTGCAACACTGTAAAATGTAAATAAAAACAAAACAACGATTTGTAAATCTTGTATTTTTCTTCACAATGAAACATTAGATGTGTAAACCTAAAGTTTTTAGTGAGGAAAGTGTTGTTTTTTGCATTTGATGATAGCAACACATTTCAGAAAAGTTTTAAACATGGACAATAAAAGGCTGTACAAGTAAGTGGTATAAATAAGAAACAGCTGGAGGAGCATTTTGTAACTACACTGGTTAGTTGGCAACAAGTCGGTAAGAGATCTGGATATAAAGAGAACCTTTTAGAGGCTTACTCTATCAGCAGTAAAGCTGGGCAGAGGTTCACCAGTCACTGAAAACTTAATCTAAAATAGCAATAACAATTTTCTAAAGACTTTAAATATACCCTCATTTACTGATATTAATATAATGAATAAAAAAAAAAATCAAGAATCTGGAGAAATCTCTGAGCTCAAAGGACAAGACAGAGATCTTCTGGCCCTCAGGGGGCCACTGCATTAAAAACAGGTCCGATTCTGTTCTGCACATCACTTCTTGGGCTCAGGAGCTCTTCTACAAACCATTGTCTGTAAACACAGTTCACTGTGTCATCCACAAATGCAGGTTAAAGCTCTCATCATGCAAAGAAGCCATATGTGAACATCCAGAAACGCTGCTGCCTTCTTTGGGCCAAAACTAATTTAAAATGGACTGAGGCAAAGTGACAGACTGTGGGCAGACTAATTTAAATTTCAAGTTGTTTGTTTTAAATTACGAACAAAGAGGAGAGGGACTATTCACTTTGTTATCAATGCACGGTTGAAAAGTGGTTCTTTGTTAGTATGCCGGTGCACCTTCTTCCACCTGCGTAATATCACTAAAATTAGAAACATCTAAAAATGATGCAGAAAAACTGGTTCATGCATTTGTCACATCTAGACTGGACTATTGCAATTGTTTGTTATCTGGGTGTTCAAATACGTCTTTAAAAAGTCTTCAATTAATCCAAAATTCTGCTGCCAGAGTCTTAACTGGAGTTAATGGGAGAGATCATATCTCCAGTTTTAGCTTCTCTCCTGTGGCTCCCTGTCAAATTCAGAATAGAATTCAAAATCTTACTTCTAACCTACAAAGCTCTCCACAACCTAGCTCCATCTTATATTTGAGATCTTATTGTTCCATATTTTCCCAAGAGAGCACTTTGCTCTCAGACTGCAGGTTTACTCGCAGTTCCTAGGGTTTCCAAAAGCAGAACGGGAGGAAGATCTTTCAGTTATCAGGCTCCTCTCTTGTGGAACCAACTTCCAGTTTCTGACCATGAGGCTGACACATTGTCCAGTTTTAAGACTGGGATTAAGACTTTCCTTTTTGATAAATCCTATAGTTAGGGTTGGCTTGTTATGCTGCTATAGGCTACTGGAGAACAAATTGACCTAATTTCCTTAAAGGATTTCTTAAAATTGTATAGTTTTCATTTGATATTATTTCTATCTTAACGTGATTCTTGACCTGCCATTGTGTATCTGTTCCTCCTTCCTGTTCCTACCAAATCCGGCTGGTTGAAGCAGATGGACACTTGTCCTGAGCCTGGTTCTGCCAAAGGTTTCTTCCTCACAAGGAAGTTTTTCCTTTCCACTGCCGCCTTCATGCTTGCTCAAGATGAGAGTCTGCGATGGAGCAGTCTGCTCCTCACACAAATAATGTTATTAACTTACTTTTTACATATGAGTGTTTCTGTTCAGCGCCCTGAGATGACTTCTGTTGTGACTTGGTGCTATAGAAATAAACTGGATTGAATTGAATTAGTGCCTCTGGCATGGGCAGCCTGTATGTCTGGAAAGGCACCATCAATGCTGTAAAGTGGTTTTAGAACAACGTATGCTCCCATCCAGACAATGTTTAGAGAAGGCCTTGCATATTTCAGCAAGACAATGCTAAATCCCATTAGCATGGCTTTGCAGTAGAAGAGTCTGGGTGTTGAACTGGCCTGCAGTCCAGACGTCTCACCAATTAAAAACATTTGAGTCAGCGTGAAGCGAAAAACCAGACAAAGCAGAGTTTAAGCCAGGAGTGTGGAACAGCTACAATCAGACAAGAACGAGACAACATTCTCCTCCAAAACCTCCAGCAGCTGCCCTCAGTTCTTAGACATTCATAGATTGTTGTCAAAAGAAAAGAGAGTGTTTCACAGTGGGAAACATTTCCCTGTTTTGGCTATTTGAGATGTGTTGCTGCATAAAATTTGTTTGAAATGTTTATGCTCCGTTATGAATAAATATGGGTTTATGTTAATGTTTCGGAGTGATTCAATGTGAGAACTGTTTCATCTCTGGTAAACCTGCGCTTCTTGTCGTCAGAAGTGGGAGCATCCAGACAATGAACTCCCGGGTCAGAGCCACATCCTCTGACATCCTCCTACACATCCTGCAGTGGGATGAGAGTTTAGGGGAACGGTGGGTGGAGGTTTGGCTCCATCTGTCCTCTTTGAACCATGCGGGGAAGGGGGTATTTCCCAGAACCCTATACTCTGGGAACCACTGCAGTAGTAGGACATCCCAGCTAAGAATCGGTGCCCACATCCTTGTCAAGGGCATTCCATTGGTCCACCACCACTTGGATCTCCAGCAGCATCAGGGCGACACCCAAACATCCCTGCTGCCCACAGTCAGTGGTCAGGGAATGTGTGGACCCCGAACTGAGGGTCAGTTTGTTTCTTGGGCGGTTTGAGTTACATTCTTGCTGGTCGTATGTGGCTGTCGGACCCATTCTGTAAAAGCCACGTACTGCGGTTGGATGATGTGTTTCACCATCTGCGTTTTGTGTGTTATCTTTTTTTTTTCACATGAAAATTCAATGGTCAGAAAGGGCCCGTGATGTCATCGCTCGAGCATTTGTGGGTGTCCGAGTCACCCTGTTTGTCTGAACCAGAAATTCAGCAACAAGTAGGGCCTGCAAACGTGGCCACTGGAATTCATGTGCGAGCGTGACTCCATGCATGTAGACAGGCAGTGATTATAACTTTCCTGTCATGCATTTTAGCTGGAGCTCACTCTCTTTGTAAACAGCACTCCAGGAGACTTTTTTTTTTTCAACTTAAATTGGCCTGTTTCTTTTTTTGGTGGTCTGCCAGGGTTGGAAGGGCTGATTTAGTTTATTTTTAGATTCAGTTTAAAAAGCTTCTGTTCAGGAACATTAACTGAGGAGCGCTTGTGTCTCTTCTGCAAGGGAAGCCCAGTTCATCAGAATATTCTACAAATGATATAGACCCAGCAAAATATAAAAGAGTATAAACAAATTGTATAAATAGAAGAAATACAGCCAGAATGAACATTAAAACTTCAACGCTGCAGTTTCAGAATTAATCGTTACAGGTAAAAGTCTTTAACGTGTTTCTAAAGATTTTATTTTATTTTTTACTATAAACTGTCTTTTTCAGTCTTAGAGCAAAATAATAAGAATCATATTGTGTTGAAAAGCACAAAATTAGTTTATAGTATTTTCCAGATATGGA